CTCCTCCCCCAAGGCCATCCCTTAATACCCCAGGAGACACAGCTTCAGGGTAGTCAGTCAGTCCCGGTCCCTCCCAGGGTAGCTGCATACTGTGTGTAACCCTTCCCCAGCCACATAACTGGAGGGAAGGAGACCGCCCTGAGGCTGCCAAAGGCAGAACACTCATTGAACTTCAGATAAGCAGTAAATAGTTCTCTGTGTGGTTTCCCCCCTTGCTTTTAATTAATTAAATTTTGGGGCAAGGACTCATTCTGCATCCTGGGCCAGCCTAGAACTCACTACGAAGCCTAGGCTGACATTTCACTCACAGAAATCCTCTTGCTACAGCCTCCTAAATGCTGCAATTACAAGCATGGCCACTTTTAAAAATGTATTTTCACTGCTGGGGATCAAACTCAGGCCCTGAACATGCCAAGGGCACACTCTACCACTGAGCGATGATACGCCAGGCCCCACAGATAGCTTTTTATTTTTTTATATTTATCTCTGTGTACACACAGGCAGGCAGGCAGGCAGGCAGGCAGGCACGCATGCTCGCACACACGCACGCACACATCTGTGGAAGTCCAAGGTTGAGTGCTTGTCTTATCACTCACCAGCTTGCTTAGGCTGGTGGCGTGTGAGCTCCAGGGATCTCCTGGGGCTCCAGGTGTGTGGTGTCATGCTCGACTTGCTACACAGGTGCTGGGGATCCGAACCCAGGCCCTGGCTTGTACAGCAAGCACTTTACCCAGTGAGCCATATCCCCAGCTCCCACAGTTTTTAGCACAATGATGTCCCCAGTACTATACAGTATAGCCTTATATTAAAACCACAAAATCACCCTCCACAGAAGCAGGTTGCTGAGGACACTGTGAAGAAACACAGATGAAGAAAATCCCTGCTGTCTGCAAGTGGTCAGTACTGAAGCCACCACTGGGGACATCCCGAGGAATGGCTGAGGTGTCACCTCCTGAGAGAGGCTCGTTACCCCACCTGTGCCTGCCTTCTAGAGCCTCTGTCACCACTCTTCTCACACCTGGTAACCTAGTAGGGTCGTCTACAGTGTTACTACACACATCCTCAGAAAAATGTGTCACCAGTCTACACACCTATCCTCTGCTCAGCCTGGCCCATCTCTCTGCCTGGGGCTTTCTTTCCAAAGGCCCTCCCGCTGACCCAGCTCCATCCAGGGTCTACCATGCCCACACCCACCATAAAGTGCAGGCGGCTCTCCGTCTCCATCAGCACATCTAGCTGTAAGCTCAGCACATCTTTTGGGAAGAAGGTCGGGCTGGTACGGGTCAGGGTGGCTGTGTACCCCATCTCTGTGGAGCTCAGGTTCTCTAGCCGGTAGCTTGGGTAGGTGGGAGGGAAGAAACACCAGGGTTGTCCCATCAGCACCTGCCCTGCTGGGACATAACAGCAGCCACGGGCCTCGCACTGTTCCTGGGAGATGCCCTTGTCTGGGGCACAGTCAAAGCGGTTGTTGGGGGGCACATCACACTGTGTGGGCACTGCTGTGGGCTGCTCAGGGTGCTCCCGGATGTGCTGGGGCCCAGGCCGGTAACCTGCCCGATGGTGAGGTCTAAAAGTCTTCTGCAGTCCTAGAGAGGACTCAGGAGGCTCTTGGGGAAACAGCAGGAAGTCACGGAGCATGAGATGACCCAGAATGACAGCAGAAACCAAGGAGACGAGAGTGCAGGCCCCGATCAGGGAGTTGGAGCAGGGCGGCTTCCTCATGTTCACTGTGAAAGCCTATTGGCCCACACAGCATGAGCAGTTCTGGAGGCCTGAGGAGAGGAGGAGCCAGTGTCAGTGTGGGTAGAGGCCAGAGGTCCGTGGGTGCATTCTCAGAGCAGCATGCACACACACTGACAGTGGAAGCAGGCAGCCTGAGCATCTCTGTCCACAGCAATGGTGAGGAAGGCAGAGGGCCTGCTGCAGACATGGGCCCCATAGCTCTGTACAAACAGATGCAAAAGGGAGCCAGGACTTACCCAGAGGTCTCCTGTGTGAGAGAAAAGGGGTGAGCAGGAAGGCTACAGAGCCACCAAGTCAAACCCCAAGAAGAGGAAGAAAGTGAGGGGATGAAGAGCCCAGGTCACAGGGTTCTCAGGCTACAACTGGCCACAGAGGAGTGGGGAGCCTTCCGGAAATGGGGTCTGGGCAGAAGCTGGGCTCATTTCAAGACATGGTGGCCACAGGGAGGGGCTTGGCACAGCAGGAGTTACTAAGGTTCTCTGGGTCACCAGACACACTCAAGAGACAGCAGCCTGGTTGCAGAAGGGCCAGCTGTGGATATTCTGACCAGCACTTGGGGCTCACCTGTGGCACTGGTGAGTCGGGGCTCTCCAGGTTGGCAGTTAATTTTTTACCCATAATACCTGTGACTTTCTTTCTCCTGCTAGTGACTCCCCAGGGGTGTGTGTGGGGGGGGGTGTTGAGGGGTGAACTACAACCCAATTCAGTTCTGATCTATCTTCAATCAGAGCAGACTCCTCAAGGCTTGGGGCCCTACCATACCTAGATGCCAGCTACAAATCCCAGGCTGCCACCAGTGCTTCTGTGGGCCGGCTATCAACCTGACGGTTCCGAGGACCCCTGTACCAAGTTTGGAACCCACTGGACTATCTCACAGAACTCAGAAAAGTGCTTCACTCACACTTACTGTTTGTTTTGAAAGCTGTAACTCAGGAACAGCTGGATAGAATTAATGGGTTGGGAACAGGTGGAGTGCCCCTGCAATGTGAGTACCAATTAGCCAGCGTTGGTGGCTCTCTGAACCCATGTGGTTGCCATTTTGAATTAGGGTCTGCAGTAGCCCAGGCTTGCCTTAAACTTGCTGTGAAGCCAGGGGTGACCTTGGATTCCCGCCACCCCCTCCCACATGCTGTTTTCTGGCGCTGGCGATGACGCACGCAGCTCTGTTTAGTTCTGTGGACCTTCCATTACGCAGACACGAGTGACTGATGAAATCGGTAGCCACGGTGAGCGATCTAGGCGTCTGGTGGGGGTTGGAATGCCTGGGAGGGCTGAAGTTTCTGGCCCTCCCATCATACCTAGTTTTTTATGGTGCCCGGCGGCCATAAAGCTACTAAGGATCTCAGCCCCCGACTAGCAATAGAAAGACAGTTAAACACCGGCGCCCAAGCATGAACCAGAGACCATTTGTCTTCACTGCAGAGTCTCAGCGCCACCTGGCCCTTGCCGACACATGTGACACTCATGATTCAGCATCCAAGGACAACCACAGGCTCGGGGGCTGCGTGGGAATCTGCATCTTCCAGAACCTTCCAAGGAGGCCCCCGGGGCGCAACTGAGCAATACCTACATCAGAACAAAGCCCCAGAAGCCAGAAACCAGACCGCTTAGGCCCGTTCTCTGGCTCCACGATTTAGAGAAAACAAACAAACAAACAAACTGGAAATGGGGAAGGAACTAAAGGTCAGACGCCAGGGCTGATCTGGAGGCCCAGGCTTGCTCCCTGCAGAGCTGCTGGATCCGCGGCGCCACCCGTGGCGCAGGCAGCGCCCAAACCCAGCTTTCGGACCCCGGGCGCGGTCTGTCCGTGCCTCAGTTTCCCCCTGCGACACTGACACACAGAGCTTTGCCCGCCTAGCCCTGAGGGCACGAACTAGAATCCCGGGCTTTGCCAGCGGTGTTACTGAAGTCACTCGGGCCCGCGGCTGCCCGAGTCGGGCCGGGGGTCCGGGGTCAGGGGCCGGGGATCGGGGATCGGGGTCCGGGGGTCCCACCTATCTCCGTTTCTCTGCTCGATTCTCCCAAGCAGGAACTCACTGACAGTCGGGCCGCGTGCCTGAAGGAGGCCGCTCCTGCGGAGGCCCTCGGGCCTGCGCCCCCGCCACCAGCAAGCCCGGCTCACCTGCGCAAACGCCCGCCGCGCTGCAGACCCCCGAGCGCAGCGCGACAGACAGCGCGGGTGGATCATGTGGTCCGAGGGCGGGGCGGGCTCGCTCGCTCGCCCGCCCGCGCGGCGCACGTGACGCGGGCCCCTGCGTAGGCGCCGGAGTCCCGGCGCGCGTCCTCGCTGCGCCCCCTAGTGGCTGCGGGCGACAGAGCGCGCAGGTGTCGGGGCCGGGTGACAGGGACGATGCAGACACCAGCACCCAGGCCATCCTCTCAGAAGCTTCAGTGGGAGATGAAAACCAGCGCAGACCAGCTTGCTCGATGGGGAGGAAGGAGTCAAAACACGTGATCACACAGAAAACCACCGCTGGCGGAAAACGTTAAATGGCCCGAGACTTTTGACGTTAGATGGCCACAAATTGGGTGGTGGTGCAGGCATCTGACAGAGGCAGGAGGATTGCCAGTTTGAGTCCAACATAGGACACCTGTTGAGACCCAGTTTCAAAAACCAAGGTTGGCAGGCAAGGGATGTAGCTAGGGGCAGAGCACAGGCCTACTAACGCGTGCAAGGCTTCCGTTTCCTCTTGCAGGAGAGGCATTGTGCCCTCTGGCCGTCAGACTTTTGAAACAATGGACCTCAAGAAATTAAAACCACGACCCCCCAGTCCCATGCTGGGGCAAGGGGGGGTTCCTGAAGGGACACTGCACGCAGCTCTGGCAGCTAGTGCCAAGGGGCCAGTGGTGGACTGGACCTCACCTTGGTGGAGGCTGCTTAGCCATTCAGACCTCCTGCCCTATGCAGAGCTAAGCCTCACATCAGGACCCTCAGAGTGGGTGATGGCCCATTATTTGTTCCTCTTCCCACTGTGGCCACATTCTCACTGTTGTCTCCGACTGGCACTGATGACAGCCAGCTCAGCCTAGTTTCTTGGGGCTGCCAGACTCCGAATCGGAAAACAAACTCTATAACAAGCAAGTGGTTGACACACAGCAGACTTAACTTGCAAGTACTGAAGGAGAGGGGCCAGACCGGCAGTGCTGTTAGTGTGTCCCAGGCAGAGTGGGTGGGGTGGGCGTGGCTGGGGGGGTCTCCTGGCCTCTTGGCTGTTTTTGTATTTCATTGTTAGGATGAACACGTCTAATTCGTTTGACCAGAAGCAGCTTTCATAAATTTTATTTCTCTGCTGCAAAGTTTAAAACTGGAATTATCCCACAGGACATTTTCTATTTCACATCTACAGAAGCAAACAGGCAGCTGGTGCTCAGAAACCCAGGGGCGGGGGCAGAGATGGAGAGAGAGGTCAGTGGGTGACCTCTCCTTGGGATCCTGGGGTCCTTAGCTTTGATCTTTGGGTTTCAATCTATTTTAATGCTTCCTGGGAGGTAGGGGCTGTAGGGGCTGAGCTTTCTGTTGGGTGTGTGGGGGGGAACCAGAATGAAGGTAGCTTGTGGTTTCACATGGGCTGAAGCAGTCTACCTTGTTCCTGGCTTCCTTGGGGTCCTGGCTCCCTTACTTGTTCCACAAAACCCAGGGCCTGTCCCAGGTCAGTGTGATGGGTTTCGGCTGCACTGTGGAACTGCCGACAGACAGAATGGTCTTTACCTAGATGGGTAAGCCCAACAGGACAGAGTGGCTACTGATGCCCAGGTAATGCCCCTGCAGGCTGGCATGTTCACCGCAGCAGATCAGGAATGCTGAATTGCACCTGTTGTCAACAGTGGGGTGGCTGTGACTCCTACAGGTCTGGCTTGTCAGTGTTTCTTAGGTAGGGTGTCATTCTAGGGGACACACGGCTTTTCAGAACATGGGGGGGGATTCCCTGGCTGCCCTTCTGGGCAACCTTGGCAGGTGTGGGCCAAGTGATGTTTAGGAGGGGTCTGGGGACTTCAGCCGGCTGGAGACCTTCTGATGAACTTTGTGTAGCACCTCCCGGTACTGGGGGTAGTCTTCCTGTATCTGGGAGAGGACAGAGTTGAGCTGGACCAGCCGGATGTCCAGCTTCTTGCGTTCCTGCAGCTGGGTCTTGCTGTTTCGGTATAGGAACACATACTTCCCATCAATTGCAGCCTGCAGGTTCTTGGCACGCGTCTGCATGGCCACAATCTCCAAAAGGTTCTGGGTGGGAAAGAGACCCTGTGTCAGTGTCCAGAAGTCAGGAGGACCCCTGTCCTCTACTTAGACTAGAGGGAATGGCAAAGAGGAGAGGTGTTCTTGAGAGGACCCAGTCAAGTCTCTGGACTCAAGGGAAGGGGCTTGCACCCCCAGGCAGGAGGCTTGCTCACCTCTGGGGGAGGTGTTTTGGCTGCTGAGTGGTGCTACATGCTCTCCTGAGACCTTGCAGTCCTCTTAGATTCATACCACAGCCAGCCCAGCTGGAAATCCCACTGGGGAACTTCTGAATTACATGCAGACTCAGACAGACAATGGGATTCAGGTTTGCTGTGCCCTCCAGTCTACCTTTGATGCTGTGTTCCAGGCTGCCCCATAGCCAGGAGGGATTCTCCCTGATTGCAGGTCACCCTTAGCCCTAAAGCTTCACACTATCTATCTTCCAGGTTCGGACCCTGCTCCTTCCAAGGCGTGGTACATTCTGGGCAGACCCGTCTTGGCCAGGCTACTCCACCTACCTGAATGGCTTCTTCCTCTTCTCCCATCTCCTTGAAGCCTCCACTCATACATGTTTCTTTCTTTCTTTTTTGGGGGGAGGGTTCGAGACAGGGTTTCCTGTGGCTTTGGAGTCTGTCCTGGAACTAGCTCTTGTAGACCAGGCTGGTCTCGAACTCACAGAGATCCGTCTGACTCTGCCTCCCGAGTGCTAGGGTTGAAGGCGTGCGCCACCACCGCCTGGCTCACACATGTTTCTTACATGGCTCCCCTCAAAAATTCAACCCCTTGACTTTACTCGGAGGCCCTGACATCTCAAGAATGTAATCTTCAATTACAGGGGGTTTTGCTTCTATTCAGTTGCCCAGGCATCCAGAATGGTGCCCAGCCAATGACTGGTAGAGATCAAAATATATGGTGTGACCAAATTCACGAGGGACGTCAACGTGAGAAAGGTGAGCAGTGGTGGTGTCATCACCAGCTGAAGATGGGCCTGGCCCCGAGGAGATCTTCATGTGGGACACAGCTTCTCCTGGGGTGCTCGCCCCTCTGTCTGGGCGCTTCAGGCCCAGAGACCTCCAGAGAGATTTACCTGCCGTTTGAGACTTGTGAGCTGGCTGATCTCTCCTTCCAGGACGTCTAAGTCACCCTGCATCTTTGACAGGGACTGCTGCTTCTCCTGAAGGGAGCTGCTCAGGAGTTTTTGAGTTTCTTCTAGTTCTGAGATAGTGTTGCCGCAGTCTTCTGTGGCCTAGGAGAAAAACAGGACCCGATGGGCTCCCGCATCCAAGTCACTTAGCAGACAGAGGCATCCGGCTAAGCGCCAGTCACTTGCCTCGGAGTACTTGTTCTTGGGGGTGGGGGTGGGGTTCCTGTATTAGTCACGTTTCTATTGCTGTGATAGAACGTCATGCATGGTCAAGGCGACTTAGAGAAGGAAGGATTTATCCGGGCTCACAGTTTTCCAAAGGGATCAGAGCCCATGGTGGCAAGGCATGGTGGCTGGAGCAGAAAGCTGAGGGCTCATGTCTTCTAACCACAAACACAAAGCAAAGAGAGAGACTAGAAATGGTGCAAGTCTTTAACCTCTCAAAGCCTGCCACCACTGACACTTTCTTCGGCAAGGCCACACCTCCAAAACATCCTCCAAACAATGCCACCAACTGGGGACCAAGCATTCAGATGACCTGGGGACATCTCATTCGCACCACCACAGTTCCCAAAGAGGAATCCGATAGCCACAGACCATATAGAAGGTATGGAGAGAGAGAGAGAGAGAGAGAGAGAGAGAGAGAGAGAGAGAGAGAGAGTGTGTGTGTGTGTGTGTGTGTGTGTGTGTGTGTGTGTGTGTTAGTAGCCTATGAGACACCAGGTCCCTGAGGCCCACGATGCCAGCTAGGGAGACTGTGACTTCGAAGACGACATGGGGGAGGCAGTCTGTGGAAGTCCGTGCTCTGAAGGAGCACGGTGACTCGAGGACCAGGGTCAGCACTGCAGTCTTGAACCAGGAAGGGATGAGTCTGTGTGGGAAGTGTAAGGAAGGATGGTAGGAGTGGGGTGACTGACAGCGGGGTGGGGTTCCTCTGCAGAGCCCCAGTGGGGCATGGTGTTTCTGGGAGTGTTTGCAGCAGGGTGTCAGGGACGAGGCTGGGGCCATCAGGGGACATAATGTTACCGTGACAAGGATGTCACTGGTAGTGTTTGGTGGCTGACTCAGGGCTGAGTAATGGTGGCGAAGAAGAAATAGTAACCCTGTTTCCTTCCTAGGAACACAGAACTTGGGGGGGGGGGACTACTGATGGGTGGAGGAAAGGGCCCCATTTGTGGCTTGATGGTGGAGACCATGGTGCATGTGGCCAGTGGGATGCTGGGCTGACTCACACCTGGTTGAGGCTGTGGGGCAGAGAGGGCAGAGGTGGGGGCTGAGATGGTGGCCAGGGCAGGTGGAGAGGTCAGGTGTGCCAGAAGCCGAGGAAGGAACAGGAGAGACAGGCAGGTGTAGCGAATGGGCTGAGAAAGACCACTCTGCCCCCAGCTCTGGAAGCTTCCAGTCACAGCCACATGAATGATCTGTTTCACTGATCTTTTCCCACACGGGATGTAGCCCACAGAGGCTTCTCATGATCTGTCCGTCGTGACACAGGGTCTCTTGTCTAGGTCTGAGTGGTGGGCTCGTAGGTGTGTGTCATTTGTCCTGAAACTATGGGGACTGTCCTGGTACTCTGTTTGCTTCTCTGTATGACTCTATAAGGTGGACTCCACAGGTCAGTAAGCTGAAGCAGACAGGTGGGACAATATGCCCCAGTCATGAGGGGAATGGTGGGGCCGAGGCCACACCCCCAGGTGTCCTTAAGGCCATCACACCATATATAGCTATGGTTGCTGTTACACTTAGCCATCTGGTTCCCCAGGGAGTGGCTACTGTTCCTATTTCTCCCTTGACTTGAGGGGTGTGTCTAGTCCTCTCTTAGGGAGGAGGGAGCTGCAGATTTGAGTGGTGTGTGTCTAGTCCTCTCTTAGGGAGGAGGGAGCTGCAGATTTGAGTGGTGTGTGTCTAGTCCTCTCTTAGGGAGGAGGGAGCTGCAGATTTGAGTGGTGTGTGTCTAGTCCTCTCTTAGGGAGGAGGGAGCTGCAGATTTGAGTGGTGTGTGTCTAGTCCTCTCTTAGGGAGGAGGGAGCTGCAGATTTGAGTGGTGTGTGTCTAGTCCTCTCTTAGGGAGGAGGGAGCTGCAGATTTGAGTGGTGTGTGTCTAGTCCTCTCTTAGGGAGGAGGGAGCTGCAGATTTGAGTGGTGTGTGTCTAGTCCTCTCTTAGGGAGGAGGGAGCTGCAGATTTGAGTGGTGTGTGTCTAGTCCTCTCTTAGGGAGGAGGGAGCTGCAGATTTGAGTGGTGTGTGTCTAGTCCTCTCTTAGGGAGGAGGGAGCTGCAGATTTGAGTGGTGTGTCTAGTCCTCTCTTAGGGAGGAGGGAGCTGCACACCTGCATCAGCCTGTCTTCCCACCTACTCTTGAGTTTTTTTCATGGCTCTTCCAGGATCCTCAGAGGCTGTTTCTGTGAGCAGGAAGTGGGCCCCGGCAGTGGACCCAAGGCAAACTACCAGTGACAGGGCCAAGGACAGTTTGGGCCAGTGTGCTTGGAAACACCTGTCCAGCACAGCCACTCTGACAGATGCTGCTCTTCGCCACGCAGGGCCTGACACATCTCCCTTCCCAGACAGGGGCCACAGCCCAGAAAGACGCAGCAGTGTGTGCCACTAGTGTGGGAGGGACTGTTCCATTCAGAGCTCTCTCTCCTCTCCTGATTCTCCTGTCACAGATGTGACACGGCACCAGTGACCTCAACTGCAGGAATGTGGAGCAGGGGATGGGTGGCTCTACAAACTGTGATCCAATGTCTTTCGCCTTCCTATGTCCCTCAGAGTTGAGTGGACGAGCCAGAGCGGGCAGGCGGTTCCTCTGTGTCCTGGTGGCATGACAAGGTGGGAGCAAGTGCCTCGGGCCAGCCCGTGGGGATGGATGGAGATCCATGCTGACCATGTGCAGTGAGGAAAAGTGAATCCTGGCATGTGCCTGTGTCCCACCTCTAATGCAGACATGCAGCCCGGCCAGGGACACACACACACACACGTCTGGAGCGTTTCTGGGTCACGGAAGCAGAGGCAGTGCAGGCCATACCTTGTGAACCTCCCTGATCTTCTTCCGAAGCTCATTCTGATGTAAGTGGAAGTCTGTCCTGGTGACAGGCTTGTCCTTCTTGCTCTGCCCTTGGGACTGCATCACCATGGTCTCCCTGCGGGCCACAGCCATCTCCATTTCATGGATCATCTTCTCCTGCTGCTTCATTAGCTGTCCGTGCTTGACCTGGGGGTACGACATGGAGGGGCTGGGCAGGACACAGCTTAAGTGAGAGTGGTCAGCCCACCCTCCCTGGCTTGTCTGCCTTTGACCCTGGCCAGTGAAGGGTCAGGGATGTAGAGAGGGCCACAAGGAGTCTGGGAGACAACACACACGGATGGGAAAGTTACTGGATGTTCTTGGAAGGCAGTATAAAGGGACAGTGAGGGCAGGAGGAGGGGGAGGAGAGGAGCATGCCAGGTCCAACGGCAGAGGTGTCGAGAGGGTGGGTGGGTCTGTCTAGAAGTGGGCGTTTGGCTAGCAGTGTCATCGCTAGGTTAACTGGTTGGTTGTGACAAGACAGTGACACTGGCAGAAACTGGGTGGGTCTGTGGACAGCGGCTGAGGGCCTCGGTGTGTGTACACGGACTGTGGGGTGCTGAGGGCTGGGGTGTGTGAGCATGGACTGTGGGGGGGGTGCAAGGAGACTTTCTAGACTCACGGGAGCATTTGTAGCTGGACCCTTGGGCCTGTTGGTCAGCCAGTGCAATTAATCAGTGAGCTCTTGGCCAATGAGATACCCTTTCTCAAAGGAAGTTACCAAACTTCCTGAGGATGTCCTCTGTTACACACACACAAACACACAAGAGTGCACACACAAACACACGAGTGCTCACACACAGACATGCATAAACAGACACACATAAAACAAAACGAAATAAAAGGGCAATAAATAAATGTCAATGGTTGACAACATCCAGACTGCAGAGATTGGTAGGGACATGACCCTGTCGTGTGACAAGTGCAGAGGCAGAGCCTGATCTACAAGAGCTAGTTCCAGGACAGCCTCCAAAACCACAGAGCAACCCTGTCTCGAAAAACCAAAAAAAAAAAAAACAAAAAAAAAAAAAAAAAAAAAAAAAAAAAAAAAAAAAAGCGATCTGACAAGCCCCCTTAAAGTTGGCCACTTACACATAACCTTTGATAATCTAGATTTCAGGAGGTGGGGATTGCAACATATTGACTTTTATGTGTCCATTTGATTGGCCTAAGGGCTGCCCAGATAGCTGGGTGTATCGGGAGGAAGTCAGGGGCTATCAGCGTGCTCAGTGTTGTGTGCACTAAGTAGACACACCCCTCCAGTGGGGGTGCCTGGGAAGCTGGTGGAACATGTGGCCCCTCATGGCTGGGGTGGCATGCTTTCCATGTTGGAGCTGATGTGTTGGGCTGGAGCTCACTGCCTGCCCTTCTTAGTCTCTGGGTTTGGGGTGGCACACAGTGTGGGCCCTCCCAGGTCTCTTTTGGGCCGTCGCTGTGTGCAGGCGCATTACTGACCCAAGGAAATGACTTTAAACACATCTTGTTGGGTATGCTTCTCTGGGGGAACCCTCACTGGTTCCGAAAAACTCCACTCAGTGCAGAAGGAACCAGGCATGGGGAAAGCGACAGACAGATCTACCACCACAGGAGGCACCATGTAGCAGGGACTTGTGGATGGAACATGCCTTGGGTGGCTGAGAAGAGGTTTCTGCGCTAAGCCAGATGGAGGTGAACAGCCAGATGAATGAACCTCACACCACTAACTTATCCAACATCAATTATCAAGCATCCTGGGGGGGGGGGCGAGAGTTGGCTCAGTCGTTAAAGAGCACCTGCTGCTCTTGAGGAGGCCCTGAGTTTGGTTCCCGGCACCCGTGTCAGGAAGATTACAACGGCCTGTAACTCCAGCTCCAAGGGAAGTTGATGCTTCTTCTAAACTCCTCGGGCTGTACTCCTGTGCACATACCTCCCCACCCCACACAATTAGAAACAAATAACAAAAGAAGTATCTAAGACAGGCTCTTGCTTTGTAGACCTGGCTGTCTTGGGAACTCACTCTGTAGACCAGGTTGGCCTTGAACTCATGGAGATCTGCCTGCCTCTGCCACTTGAGTGCTGGGATTAAAGGAGTGCACCACCCCACCCCCACAGGGCCTGGTTTACAGTTCTAAGAGATACAGTCCACCATGGCTGGGAACGGAGCAGGGGCTTGGCCGGGTGGTCCCCCTGCATCACAGCCAGCAATGAGTGCTGTGGCTTCCTTCTCCTTTGCTGAGTCCAGGATTTATAGGTCCTCAGAGAGTGGGGCTCACAGTCAGGTGGCCCTTGCAACTTCAATAGCCTAATCCAGATTAACCCCGCACAGGCATGCTAAACTAATCTAGTTGACACCTCACAGGGTGTCCAGACATTGTCCTTGGGCGACTGTAGATCGCTCAAACTGACAATCCCTCATGCTGTGGGTCAAATCCTGGGCCTTGAACATGCAACACGAGTGTTTCACTGCCAAACGACATCCTAGCTCAGCTCATGCCTGAGAACTAAGAGTAGCCAACAGCCTGAGGCCGTTCCATAATAAATGCAATTGGAAAAGCACGCCACTGTAGTTAACTGATCTGTTTTTTATTTAACATTTTACTTTCTGTGCATGGGTGTCTTGCCTGCATGTGTGTCTGTGCACCACATGGATGCCTGGTGCCTGTGAAGGCCAGGAGAGAACATGTGATCCATGGGACTGGAGTTACCGATAACTGTGAGCCGACACCTGGATGCTGGGAATCAAACCTGGGTCCTCTGGAAGAGCAGCCAGAGCTCTTAACCGCTGAGCCGTCTCTCCAGTCCCTAACTGCTCTAATTTTTGTCCCTAAGTTCTTGAATCTTAAAAGGGATGGTCATTTATGACTTAGTTGTTCTTATGAAGGACTTAAGAATTAACAAAGAAATAAAGTAAGGAGACTTAGAAAAAAACCTCCCACACTAAAAACAGGGCGCCCTGACTTAGAAATCTAACCAAGGTCACAATGACCCGAGTCCCTGAAATTTCCTAGCCGACCACAAGACAACCTAACTAAATACCAAGAATTCCCAGAGGGCCACCCTGCCCTGGGGTCGTGAAGATAAGAACAGACTATCCCACTGAGTCAGGAGACCCTCCGGCCCCAAAGATAAGAGACCTCCAAAGAACCTGTGACTCTGGTCACCACCCTAACCCCTAAAAGCCTATGGTTCTCTCCTATAAAAGAAGCCTGCTTTTGAGGAACAGGGCTTCCTTTGTCTGTCGGACTGGGAGGTCCGTTTGCGAAAACGGCCCATAATAAACTTACCTCTTGTTTTTTACATCAGCTGGACTGGACATTGAGTTTTTTTGGGGGGACCATCTGATTTGTGGGGACTCCTCGATCCGAGGGTCTTTCACTTACAGTCAGTGAAGCCCAGTGCTCGTGAGAGATGGGATGGTGGCCGAGCGTTTTTTTTTTTTTTTTTTTTTTTTTTTTTTTTGTATGAGTTGCCTTTTGTTAGGCTCTTGCTGTTTGAGACTGTTACCCTTGCTAGCCTGGAACATGCTGTGTATCCACTCACCAGGCTGGCCTCAAACTGCTGGGGTTAAAGATGTGCACCACCACACCAGCCCATATGAGTTTCTTCTTATTCCACAGTGAGACTAGTAGGCTGGGAAACTGGGCTTTACAACCAGTGTTTGAAATACCAGGGGATCTTGACTGCTTGGAGTCACAACATTTTAAGAGGTGCCACGCTTATGACCACGTGTCCTGGCTGCCGTGGGATTATTCTGCACAGTACAGACCTAAGTCAGACAGACCCTGGTATGCAAGGTGGGTGACGACCGACACAGAGCCTGCAGCCGGATTTGCTAGAATGCAGCCACTGTGCAGCAAAGGGTCCTTCCTAGGAATCTCACCTGTTGCCCCTGGCAGGGTGGCTCAGTGGCCACCGATCTGCAGCCTAACTGTGCCTGTGCCCACAGCCCCGACACACTCACCTTCATCCTGTGGATCTCGGCCTTCATGGCACGGATCTCTGTCTGCCCAGCCTCAGAATCCACCGAGGCACGCATCTCCTTTGCCAGTTGGATTTTTTTCTCCCAGAGCATGAGCTGGTGTCTTCAGAGGCAGGAGAGGCAGAGTCAGAGCCAGAGCAGTTTGAACCTGGGTGGCAGGGACCCCACCTCTCTGCCCAGGGGTGTGGCAAGTGAAGCCCAAAAATCTTTACTCAGGTTCCTCACAAAACGGTTTGCCAAGTCTTGAGACAGACAGACCTCTGCCTATGGGCTGGCAGGGAGGAGAGGAAAAAAAAAGAGAGAAGAGAGAGGAGGAGGAGGGAAAGGGAAAAGGGAAGAATAAAGAGAGAGAGAGAGAGAGAGAGAGAGAGAGAGAGAGAGAGAGAGAGATATGAGAGACTGGGGCTAGAGAGATGGCCCAGTAGCTAACAACACTGGCTGTTCTTGCAGAGGGCCTGGGTTCAGTTCCCAGCATCCATGTGGTGGTTTGCTACTTATTGTGACTCTGACTCTAGTTTTAGAGGCACGAGAGAGAGAGAGATAGAGACAAA